GACTTTCTTTACAACCATTGGCATTTGCACATGAACTCAATCCACTGTTTCTAGATCATTAAGGAAATATAAATACATTTTCTTAATTAGCAGGGATACCTGAAGAACTCAGCCTTTAGTCATAAGAATGAAAAAAAGGCCAACCCTCTAGATGCTCAATCCTTGAAAATTTCTGCCAATGAAATCTATACATTTTGATAAGTTCTCACTTGTATGCTGAGTGTTGGTCCCACAATGGTTTTTTTTTTTTTTCCATAATTCTGGTGATCAATAAAATTTTATTCTTTTTGGAAATTCACAGCATGTAACAGATGATCAAAATAAACATAGACAACTGGGTACTGAAAATACCAACAAGAAAAAGGAAAGATGCAGTGGGACTGAAGGCAGTTTTGCCTTCTTAATTCCTCTCTCTTACCTTCTACTATCAAACTCATAATTTAGTGCCTGTGTGCCCACACTGCAAATGTATTCATCTCTTCTCCCAAGTTGGCCATGGGGTCCCACGAGTCTTGACTGAGTTAGCACACTATGCAAAGATCGTTCACTAAACTTAATGCTCTTTCATGGAGGTTATTTTATTAAGATTATTTGTAGCAGAGACTGTGGGCTTCCTAGTCGAGGCTCTGCTTTTATTCCAGTATCCCTGCCTCCTATGAGTGGCTCAGGTAAACTTTCTTTGGTGTAAAATTATCAGGGAGGGCTGGGGATGTAGCTCAGTGGTAGAGCTTTTGCCTAAAATTATCATGGTGGGTCCTTTCTCCTTGCAGGTGATTGCTTTGGACCGATGAGATGTGATGGGAAGTCTACTGGAGAGTATCTGGGAAAAGTATCCTCATAGCTTTTCAAGAGACTAAAAGAAGAAATAATGCCTCCTCTGCTTTCACCAGCCTTGGTATCGGAGGACACAGTGTAATATCTTAGTGATCCTAGGAGAAGATGGCCATTACAATGAGACTGGCTGAGCAGGAACAAGGAAATACCCTGAGTCCTTCATGGGCCAAGAAAGAACCAACTCTTGTGATTTTTTTGTAGTGACACAGTAGATTTTTTTATTGTTGAAGCCATTTTGAATTGGATTTTCTGTTTCTTACAGCCCAAGGCATCCCATATAATACAATGCCTCCTTGGAGAAGCAAGACAAGGCTCTGCCTCTCTCACAACACTTAGGCAACAAAGGAATAGTTGCTCCAAAAAAGGAAAGAAACTAAGATTTATTTCTAAGTGTTTTGGGAAAACTATCTGTGAAAAGGTATTTTTAATAGTGACTCCTGATGAATGGGGTGTACTTTGAAATCATCCTGCAAGATGTAAACACTGTAATAAAGTCAGGATGAGCCACTATGAACAGTATGTGTGGGGATACACAACATACTTGGAGTCATCATAATATGTAAACATCAGGAAACTACCATGAAATTAGTCTTTATTACTCATCTACTCTTATTTCCTTCTACAATTATAAGATGGGGAATTTTTTCTCTCGTCACTGGTACCCACCTCCACGCCCACTTGATAAAAACACAGAATCTCACAATTGATTAGAAATTCAGAAAACCAGGGTACAAATGATATAGAATAATTTTCACAAAGATACAAAGCTAGTTTGGGATGATTTTTTCACAATTAAAAATGCTTTATGCTATATGTATAATAAGAATTGTAATGCATTCCGCTGTCATATATAAATAAAAAAAAATGCTGTATGCATGATTTTCAAACAAAGACATTTCCTAAAAGCCCAATTTAATGCAAAGACAAATTGCAACATACTGGAAAATCAAAACAGGATTTTTTTTTTTCTTTACTAATTCGATCATGACAAGAAAACCTTTTGAACTTGAAGGTTTAAGTTTCTTTTTTCTATCACTAATACCCTCCTTAATCCTAATCCATATTCTATTTAGCACTATTTCTCTTATCTAGAATACCTTACATATGGCCCATTTTGTAGGCCAGTGGTTCTCAAAAATACTGTATAATAATTGCCTGGAAAATAAATCAGAAATAGATATTTATAGGTAGAGTCTGATTTAGTAGACTCAGAATGAGGCCCATAAATGCCAATGTAAACAAGCACCCAAGGTGATTCTAACCATGCTCTGAGACACATGATTTCAGACTGTATACCAGATTCCAAGATCCAAATAGAAAAATAATCTAATTATCATAGTAGATTTAAACTGGAACGACAAAAATATGTTCAGGCCTGCCTATAATTTTTATGTTCTCTCTGAGGTCTGAAACAAGTCCAACACGTCTGTGATTTAGATGCTCCTCGGTAATCATTTGCTTTAGAGATTTGGAGTTTTTATCCTTTCCCTTCAAGACTTTTTTCCCCTCTGAATGAATTTTTCCTCGGGATTAAAATGTAAAATGTCTTAACTTTCCCTCAGAGCTAAAGGAAATCAATTTTGGAGAATGTTTCAAACAAGTACTTTTAAAAATACACAAAACAGAATGTCTTGCCTTTGAACCAGAGGCCTGAGATGCATGAGGCAAACAGTAGGTAATGAGAGAAGTAAACACTGGGTTTTCCAGAAGCATTGGCCCTGAAACCAAAACTTAGGAAGGAAGCTGACCATTAAGTAAGTGACCCAGAGGAACAATAGCCAAGGCAGATCCTAGGGTAAATCTGAACCTGAGAAAACTGGAATTATACAAAAGCTTGTATCCCAAGTTATCTTTCCCTTCCTGCTGGATTTTAAAATAAGGACAGTACTGTAAATGAGAATTTAGTTTAAGTGGAACCTTAGAACTCCTGTGGGTGCCAAAGAATTTTCTGAGAACTAGATAAAACTCCTGAATTTACAGTGCTCACTTATGCCTATGGCCCTCCCCAAGGGCATTTTAAATCGGAGGCTCTACAGACCAAGAAACAGCATGGGGAGAAGTGGAGTCAAGTGAATTCTAACACCAGCTTGGACCAACTCACATTATGGCATGAGAGCTGTACTATACATAGATGTCTTCATGACTCAGTGAATAGAGAAATGTGATACAACCAAAGAAAATTCTCAAGTGTCAACAGTAAGGCACAAGGCTCTTATGGAGTAAGAAACTCCAGCAACCAAATTTATTTAAATTGGTTAGAAGGCAAAATGTCAGTTACATAGCTACAACTTGCATATTCCACTTGGCTTATGCTTTAGGTTGTGAACAAGAATAGACTGAATTTAAGGTGATTAGGGGAAGAAGGGATGGATAAAAAGGGAGAAATGAGCCACCCACCAGGAGATGAATTGGCTCAACTCTTCAAGATCTACCTTATGAGTTCTGTTTTGTTAATCTTTTTTTTTTCCTCCTTCTTTAAAGAGCCCTAACAATCCTCAGAGCAATTTACAAATGGGAAAAATTCAATACTGGCCCTGCAGGATCACCATTCACTCTTGGTTTCTTTCAGTCCAATTAGACTCTTATTCTAATTGCACAGCTTGGAAAGACCCACTGTGATCAGCTGGCTGCTAACCAGTCTCCTCCAGCTCCTCCCAGCAGGCCTCAGGGCCTCCTTAAGCCTCAGTGGCCGTAAAGTGGTCATGAGCATCCCTGCATATAGTTAGCTGAAGTGAGTACCTGGAATCTCCTCTGCATGGCTTTCAGGTGTGCAAGGTTTTGTAACTAACACTGAAACCAGCTTTACATTTTAACAAATACCTGACTGAGTTGTGTGGAATAGGCATCATATAGTCATTTCAGAGCATCTGGAGCTGCTTTCTAAAACCTAAGATTCCCATTATTTTAAACATATTTCATCAGGATTCTTTGACATTTGGGGAAGATTCTCTCTGGAAATTCACATGTTCTTTGTTATGCTTCCTGTTTTTGAGCATGCAATTCTGATATGGCATGGCAAGAAAAAAAATTGATCTAGAACAATTCTTGACTCTACCCAGTTGCTTCTCACCAACTCACAGAACAATCACATTTTTCATAATACCTATGCAAATCTTTATGCTACATACACACTTTCTCTCCAAAGGGTAATCTAAAGTGTTTGATAGATACATGAAAACTAATCATCACAATCTCCTTCAGATGACTTACCCTTATCCCAAAGGATTGACTTAATGGTATGAACAAAGTGTTGTTAAGGGCCAAATTTATAACACATCAGTTCAGTAGAATTTAGGGGTTAATGATTCAGGTTAACTATCACACACTCATTCTTTTCTTTTGCTCCAGTTTGCAATCAAGAACATTCCATCAAAGTAGATGAAAGTTTAGAACATTACACACACATAGTGACTGACACAGCAAGGGAAGTCAGCAAGGCTATTCTGAAAAGGACTAAGCAACAGTAAACACACAAAATTCAAAACCATTTCAACAGTGTAAATATTCAGAGCAGGAAAATCAGGCCCTTGCTGAATGCTTTGATTATCTCAGAAGGCAAGTGAGCATTTGCCAGAAATAATTCCTTTATTCTCTATCCTTCTTCAAAGGCTTTAATACATATAACTTTAAAAATCAATGATCTTATAGATAAGCAGAGTCTTTTAGCTACACTCAACAAAGGAAGACACTAAGGGATAGGAGTTCAGGTTTGCCCAGGGGTGGTTAAGTGGCTTGATAATAACAGTCAGTTCTAGAATCCAGGCCTCTTGACTACAAATCTAAGTTCTATAAATCTACAACATATTTCTGTTTGTCCTTGATCATCAAAAGAACATATAAGCCCTAAAAACTCTGTTTGGTGACCTGGTATCATAGATGACACAATCTGGTTTGCCCTTGATCATCATGAGAGCAAACTCCCCCTGCAACTCTGCTTGGTGGCTTGTTAGCATGGGGCACTTCCCCAGGCTCCTTTGCAAAGGCCATCTGGCATTTGCTGCTGTTATCCACTGCAGTTAACATTTCACACATTTCTTTCCTAAGCCTCCAGCATACCTGATGCAATAGTGGGAGAGGGAAATATAAGCACAACTGAGACCAGCTTTACTGCAAAGATAAGAACTTTCTGGGGTGAGAAAAGGGCCAGCAATCGGTCATAAACCTACTTTGCCAAGTGGTTCATGAGCAGCTGTAACATCTGCCGATTTTTCTCTGGGAGCCGATGAACAAGGCTGTGGATTTCAGAGACCCGAGTCTCCTGGTTCTCCAGTTCTGGGAATGAAAGAGGGAGGTAATATTTTCTCAGTGTCACCACTAACTCACTTTACAAGACAAAATGAAGGAAAACCAAAGTTTGGGCATGAACAGGCTGAGGATTTCTCAACAATTTATGATCCTATCTTGCGTGCGTACTATATGATCAGCACAACCAGATCTAGAAGTCCTAGATGGTGCTTTCTGTAACAGGGTTCATCAAAATAATGACTGTCAAAGGATCCAAGCCAAAATGATGACGTGATGAAACAGAGCCAGTCAACTGCACACCCAGAGCAGGAATGAACTCAGGAGCAGCTGGCTCCCTAGAGGGCCAACTAAATTTCAAGGAAGGAAGGAACTTTATGCACTCGTAAAGTGATAAACAAATCTTACGTGAACAACATTGCAAAGTTCTCAAATATCAAAATAATGCGTTGAGACAGCATCACGGAAATCAAAGGAAAGGCCCATTTTCTCACGTTATGTATCACCAGCAGCCTGGCAGAAGGAAAGCAATGGCAGAGAAAATATTTAAATCCTTCTGTCACCGTATAACCTATATCATGGCTTGTCACATTCTCTTGGTTGAACTTGGTAAGTGGCTTCGTTTCTCGGGGAAATAGATTGCTAGTACTCATCACATCTATTTATAGGACTGATGTGAGGTTTAATTAGAGAAAGGTTGCTATGGTTTGGAATTTCTCTGAGAAAGAAATCACATAAACACCATTTTCACTCCCAGCTTTCTCCTATCTCTTTCTCCTCCCTGCTTGAAGGGTACAACTATGAGTAGATAGGGCCACCAGAACATGAGGTTCTACTAAATTAGGCCCATAGTAGCTACCAGGGTAAACAAACCCCAGAGGCTGAAGGAAGCAGGGGAGGTACAGACTATGGACACAATAACACTGCGAGGATTCATGCCAGATCTAAATCTGACAGAGAATCTGACTGCCCCTTACAGGAGGCCTATCCCACGTAGACAGATTCCAGTATACTCAGGGTAGCTTGCACCTAATCCCTATGTATTTTAATACCAATAATATGACGCTAGGGACCTGGATGATATAATTGAAGAATGATCAGAAGCTGTACATAGAAGACATGATGGAAAGAGGGCTGTGAAGTTATATAAATGGTGCTGTATTCAGGGAAACACTTCCAGTGCTTAATTTAGGTAATGTGCAATGTCTGATTCATTCTGTAAAATGCTACTCAAAGGATGGAAAAAACCCAAGAAGTTAGAACGCCAATAATCAAAACTAGAATGGCAAACTTGTTTTTCTCCTCTCTCTCTCCCCTTCCCACCACCTCCTTCCTCCACAAGAAACCACCTCTGAAGCCTCGCTCTTCCACTGTAATTCAACAGTGCAGGCAGGTCCTTGGCAGTCTCAAGTTGGCTTCATTCTTATTCTTCAAGTCTCATGAGCGTGGATATGGCCACTTTACATGCAGAATACGATGGGTTAGATAATATTTATTTTGGGATACTGACTATTCTTTAAAATAGAAATATCTATTCTCTTCCTCTTAAAACTGTGACAAAAAGATGACTTACTTGCTGCTTTGATGAAACTTCTTTGAAACTGGTACATCATGAGTGGTCCTGGAAGCATTCTGGAATTAAAAATAATAATAAAAAGGACAGACTATCAGCTTAATAATAAAAACCATATTCTCTCTCAATAACAACCCCAAAACTGCCAAACAATATTACATTTCTTAAAGACAACCATCACAGGGAAACAACAGCAACTCAATTTAGTTTTCTGATTGGAAGCATCCTGAGATTTCACCTGAAATTCTCAGTCCCTTTCTTTTTTAAAGGAATGGCCACAACTATGCTTCAGAGTCACAACTAGAAAAGTGCTAATGCAAAAGTCTAGCACAAACCAAGAGATTTCCTTTTCAATCAGTGACTCACCCATCAACAAGAGCATTTGAGGCTGTATCTCAGAAAAAAGCAACTAACTACACATTTGCAATTACCTGTGCTTAAACTCTCAGCTTTCCAGCAGCTTGTTGTGACACTCAGTTCATCTGGTATCACCATGAAAGGTTTTTGCAGGTGTTTTGCTTCAGAGACCAGAGGGCTAGAACCCCTAACATTAGGCATAACACGAGTATATTTTACCTAGTGGGTATGAATTTGCTTAACTACAAACTTGAGTTTTTTCTGATTATACAGATGATAAACGCAACAGATGACATATATTGTTCTTGGCCCAGATTTTATTTGTATTGGATTCTCTAATTCAACTCTTAGGCGTCTCCTGGATTTCTTCTTATTCCTGACGTCAGTGCCCCAATAGCCAATAAAACCTACATCATCAATTCCTTTTCCATGGCCTTTGCTTTCCAGCCAAATGAATCTTTACAAAACCTGTACAAAGGCTTATATGAGTCACAATTACATTCTCTTCTCTATTTAAGACTATATCCCACCTTCCTACAGTACAGAACTACAATATTCCTGTTCTTCAAGGGCAGCTTAAATTTTAGTTTGTTCATGAAACTGAAATGCAGGGAGTTAGTCAATAACCCAAGAAAGGTTAGCAAGTAGCAATATAATCATATATATTGATACAAGGAGAATAGTCCTTCCAGTAAGGCAATATGTCTAATCTAAGCAGATGCAGTCAAAAGGAGTTCCACTATGTTCTCATTTTTAAGGACCAATGTAAGCAATGTACATTGTACATTTGGTGGTGCACCAAAGTATCAATATTCACAGGGTACAGAATCACACATTCTCAACAGAATGTGATATATGATTTCTTTTCTTTTTTTAAAAAAATTGTAGTTGTAGATGGACACAATATCTTTATTTTATTCATTTTTATGTGGTGCTTAGGATTGAACCCAGTGCCTCATACCTACCTGTGAGGCAAGCACTCTACCACTGAGCCACAACCCCAGCCCATGATTTCTTTTTTGCTTAACAGATTATTCAGGGAAGACTGCATTGTAGGTTCTGTTCAAGGCTAATTATCTCAGTACTTCTCAGTCAGAGCAAAGCTTCCTAAATCACTCATGGAACCATTGCACAATGACAACCCATCAACTATGGACGATTTACAATGGGTTTGACCAGCCGAACTAAATGCACCCACACAGAAGCTGTTTCCACATCTCAAACACCCACCCAACAGCTCTCTGGAGACTGAAAATAAAACTGCTTTCTTCCTCACTGCATGATAACTAGCTGGCACTCTGCCCTGCAAATGGAAAGTCCCTACCTTAGGTAGGTCTTCAGAGCACTAGTGATTGTCTTGATCTCCCACTCGGCACAGATATCTGTTTCTGTCTCGGAAGCTGTTTTGGGGTCTACAAAATGAAGAAAAGACAAGGTGTAAAGCAGACCTCAAAATACAGATAACAAACCAGCACACATATAAGCATTCAACCTTGTTAGTAAGTGCAGAAATACATTAAAAAACAACAACACATACTTTTCGCCTATTTATATCAAGGAAATGTTTAAAAATCCAAGTATCTCTTGCTGGAAGAATGCAGTGAAACTGATCCTCTCATAAACTGCCAGAAGCCATAGAGATAAATGCAGCAGTTCTGAAAAAGGAATCTGGTAATACGTCTCATCAAGAGTCTTAGAAATGTTTATACCCCTGAACCAGTAATCCCATTTCTCACAATATCTCCTCAGGAAATAAGATAAGGCATGAGAAAAGTCACATACCCCAGAAATGTTCCACATGCACTCTCTTCTTTGTAACAGTGGAAAAAGCAAGAGGAGGAAACAACCTAAATGTCTGATCATAGAGGGATGGTGTATGTCTCCCTAAAGGAGAGATGGTGTCATTTACATGATACTGAAGACCACGCAGCAACAGGGAAAATGCCTGAATTATGTAATGTCGAGTAAAAATAATTAAGATGTAAAAGTCTGTGAGAAAATCATAAGGATAAAGGCTGAAAGGAAATACTCAAATACTAAAATAGTGGTTGGGTTAAAGTGGTAGAGTTGTGGTTTTTATATTTTCTAAACTGTGCATGATTTGATTCCATTGCTCTTCTATGTATTTTAAATTTCCATGAGCCCAGATGTGCAATGAGCACCTCCATAATTATATTGACTCCTGATAATTTGTTAGTCTCCTCTTATGTGGGTTTTAAACAAATGGATGCCTTTAAGTAAGTGGACTATAAAGGAAGGAGAGAGAGAATTCTTGTAGCCTTCCTAGGCAGCAGACAGGCAGGTGAGATTAAGAGGCTGAGGTTGGGAGTGTGAACTGCTTCACAAGTCAGCTGAGGCCCATCCTGTTGCTGGTGAGGGGGATCAGGCCACACACAGACTGCAGGAGGGCAGAGGAGTCTTCCAGTGCATTGAAGGGGGACTCTGGCTTCCTCAGATCGACTTAAGGCCAGGATCTGTCCCCCAGCTCCCAAATTCCCCTTCTTTCTGCAATGCCTCATTCTCAGTTGGGGAGCCACCCTTTCTTACTCCTTCCAGGGGTGGGGGAATAAGACCTTAGGACAGACTGATCAAAAGCATGTCACCTCCCTAGTGACTGGCTCAGGGATCACCAAGACCTAAGCCAGTTCGGTCACTGTGAACTTCAAGGACTTTTCTAGAAGATAGGCTGCTGTTTGCTGGGTTTGCACCTGAAAGCTTATATAACTGCCGGGTGCCACCATGTACAGCTTGAGAGTGACTCCAGGACACAAAGCCAGAGACAGAGAAACAAAGACGGTAGAGCTTGATGAAGCAGGTAAGCGGTGCCTTTTTAATCTGGGAGCCAATAATTTTCATTTTCCCTCCTAAGCTTGTCTCCTAGAAAAATCCTGAAGTTCACTGTGACTGGACTGGCCAATCTTGGACCATCCTTGAACCAGTCACCAGCCCACCAGAGGTGACATGCCTTTGACTCCTCTGGCCCAAATATCATTCCCCACACCTGAAAGGAGTAAAGAAAGGAGTAATCCAGTTTAGGTCTGGCTCCAGTTTGTTATAATCAAAAGATATTTGAATGATACACCAGGTAGAGAGGGACAGCCACAGGACTGCCTCTTTCTCAACAGTCCCCAAGATGAACTCTGAGACGCCAACTAAGAAAGAGGTTCCTTCGGCAGGGCCAACTGCCTTTCAGTAGGGAAAGGAGAGTGAGTTATGGGTGGGCAGAACACACTTTCTATTTCCTGGGAAAGAACCCACTTTCATCCCAGAAGGAAGAAGCCAAATGCTCATGAATGGCCTCTGACTCCCAGGCAAGGCACAAGCCCAAGTGGAACCTACCACTTGGTTTTGTTCCCTGAACGCTTCCTTGAAGATGAGACAGAAAAGGGCCCCAGCTCATAAAATGTGTGTGGCTCCTATAGGCAGACCACTTGTCTGATGTTCACAGGTGACCCTGGGCAATAATGAAGTCTCTCTTTTCACATGAAACCAATAAGAACTTAAAAAGCATGATTTTACTTCTAGAGCCACAGAGTGGTTAAGTTTCTTAAAAGGTCCCAATATCTGATTTTCTTAATATCCAAATGCTGTACAGCTTTAATTCTTTGTCATCTCTCACTCCCCGAATAGTTTCTCCCTGCAGAAGAAAGTTTGTTTAGAATGACCTTTTTCCCTTTCCATTCCCAAGACCCATGGAGAGCTGCCACCCGGCATGGTTTCTGGATGCAAGACAAACGTTACTGTACATTTTTCTGAGGAACAATCCAACTTCGACCCAAGATGAGTGAACGTGAAACTAAACCAGCCACGGTTTGGCAGCTCTGGGAGTTTTGAACTACTCCATGAACCACATTTAGAAAACTAATGATTAGCTTCCACTTACTGGGGCTCTGTAACCATAGGAATATTGTGTAACATTACAGGGAGGAGAGTCAAATTACAGTCCGGCTAAAGGGCTTTTTATAGCACCAGTGAGGCAAGGCTTATAACTTGAGCACATCCATATTAATTCATTTAATATCCCAACTAAATTGCACACAGCCTCCCCAAGCTACCCCATTTCCAGAAAGTGCTGCCAATTTCCATACCTCGCTTCTGAGGCTCTCATGACAGAACTCAGAATTTTCTGTAGAACTCAGAATTTTCTATTTCTCCCCACCATGTCACTTGACCATGGTAGAGCTTAGTAAAATAAACCTAAACTAGAGGAGAAGTCCAATATACAAAAAAGGATCGTGTGGGTCAAGTGGAATGTCTCACTCCTCTTTCTCCTATGACCATGTAAACTCTGAAAACTAGGAGAAGGACTGAAAGCAGTGCTAATAAAGAGAGGTGGTCTTAGAAAGGTTACCCCAGACCAGTCCCAAGAACCATGCAGTCCTCTACTGTGCTGCTGACAAAGACACTGAACTTTGAACTCCTAAAATTTCATAATAACACATTATGATGTAAGGAAACTAAATGTCTTTTTTCTTTCAGGTTAACATATATATTTGGTAAAAAAGAGTTTCAATGAAAACAAATATATATTAAAAAGTAAGCCTTTTCTCTAGTACAGGCAACTGAAACTATCAGTTTTTCACGTACATATCCTAACAATCAATGCAAATGCCAGGTGCATATTGGAATACATCCACCTTTTTTAAAGGGAGGGGAGGGGAGAGGTGGGGAGGGGGGAGGGGGGAGGATGGGAAAGGCAGCGGAGCACAACAGACACTAGTATGGCAATATGTAAATCAATGGATGTGTAACTGATGTGATTCTGCAATCTGTGTATGGGGTGAAGGTGGGAGTTCATAACCCACTTGAATCAAAGTGTGGAATATGATATGTCAAGAAATTTGTAATGTTTTGAACAACCAACAATAAAAAATTAAAAAAAAATTATTTTTTTAGTTGCAGATAGACACATATCTTTATTTTATTTATTTATTTTTATGTGGTGCTAAGGATTGAACCCAGGGCCTCACGAGTGCAAGGCAAGCACTCTACCACTGAGCTACAATCCCAACCCATACATCTACCTTTTTAAAAACACAAATGGCCTAGCAAGTAAAAGACCTTGGGTTCCATTCCCAGTATGGCAAAAAAATAAATCAAAACTCAAATGGCAGCACACTATGCATGGAATTCTGGGTGTTGCTATTTTCATTTGACAATCTCTTAGGAAACTATTCCATATTGGCACATAAATATATCCACTCTGCAGAACTTTACTGTGTAGATGTGACATCATTAATTTAATGTCTCCTTTTAATGGAAATTAAAATTGCTCTGTTGTTTTTACTATGATTAACAATAATATAAACTTCCATTTCCTTGTACCTCTTATTTATAGAAATAATTCTTAAAGTATAATTTCTGAGTTAAAAAAAATGTGCATTTTTTTTTTTTTTTTATTTTGAAAGATAACTGCTCCAGCTCCCCTTCGAAGTTTAAGTCTGAATGACTCCTTCCCTCAACTGGCTGAGATGAAAGTCTGTCACTGCACATTGCTATCAAGGGTGAGGGAAGGAGTCATTCAAACTTAAACAGGACACTAATTAAAAAAAAAAAAAGTAAACTGTAAATGGATTGAAGAGGGATTGTTGGGTGGAAGGAGTTTGGGGTAGTGCTGGGGTCTAAATGAAGTGGGTTGAGCTCCATGCTTTGGTGATTATGCCAACGTGTATCATGGTGTTGAATCATAACTAAAAAGAATTTTTAAAAAATAAGTTATCTCATTGTTTAAATTCTCTCTCTCTCTTTTTTTCAGTGAGGAGAAAGTTTGCAAATCTTCTATGTATGGGTGTGTTTTTAAAGTGTGGATTATTGAGGTAAACTCACCCTTTTGTAAGTGTGCAGTTCCATGCTTTTTGATAAATGTGCATTGTCATGTAACTGCTATCATAATCAAGATATTTCCATCACCCCCCAAAAACTCCCAGTGCTCCATTATGCTTAATTCTCTCCCTCCCCCACCAACCTCTAGCAGCCACTTTCACATACATAGCATAAGACTTTTGAAATCCATCCATGTTGTTACATGTACCAGTAGTTTAATCCTTTTATTACTGAGTATATTCAATGTTATGGATATGCCATAATTTGTTTATCCATTTGCTGATTGATGGACATTTGGGTTGTTTCCAATTATAGATGTTATGAGTAAAGTCACTGTAAATATTTGCACACAGGTTTTTGTATACTACATTTTCATCTTTTGGGTAAATACCATATCTAGGAGTGGGGCTAGGTAAAGTACTTAGGAGTAGGTCAGATGGTATGTTTAACTTTAGAAGAAATTGACAAATGGTCTTCCTAAAATGTTTGGATCATTTTGCATTTTTACCAGTAATAGAGAGCTTTGGTTGTTTCACGTCCTTGTCAACACATGATATGGTCATTTTTTAATTTTAGCTATTCTAATAGG